CTAGCTTTTACTGCTGAGCACTGTCATGTGGCATGGAATATCCCTTTGGTCAGCTGAGGCCATCTGTCCTGTCTGTGTCTCTTCCCACCTTCTGTGCACCTTCAGCCCACTTGGCATGATGGGACAGCATGAGAAACAGAAAAGGCTGAAGCTGTGTAAGCACTGTCCAGTGACAGCTAAAACATCCCTGTGTTATCCACAGTGTTTTGGTCCCAAATCCAAAAACTCTTCCTTTTTTCCTTACCAGTAAGAAAAAACCACATAAATGTAGTTTGTGTGCCTGTGTTGATCACTAGTAAACAACTGTGAGGGAGAATGAAGTTTTCCTGGCCAGAAAGTCATGAGCTATTTAGAAAATTACAGCTCTGACAAGTATATAAGTCCTGATGCATAGGGGACATTGAGTGGACTACTGAATTCCACAGTAGAAGTTAAGCTTCAGTACAGACAGGAAACCATGGATGCAATTTAGATGGTTGTCAGCTCTAGAGTAATTATTAATGCCCTTGGAATGATTTACAAGACATTTCTTAAAAAGCTTCCAAAGTGGGAGTAAATTTGTTTGTTAAAACCAGTCTGTATCAGCCAGTCTTGAAAAGATCTCAAGGGCTGTTGGATTTGTGTTTGGAGGACCTCTTCTGGACCAGACAACATTCTGCTGCTTTTCTTTCAGAATGTTTGCAATTTCTGGAGGTAAAGTTCAGCACTCTCTTGTATGGTCCATTTTAGAGAGGAGCCCATCACTTTAATGGTTTTAAAACTTCATGATGTAAAAGGAAGCCTTCTCCAAGACTTTATACACCCTGTAATTAGGGCTTTTATGTAATATCTGCCCTGGAAAGAGGGATCCTGCAAACAGTGTCCCTAGTACTGGCATAGCCTCCTGCGTTTGTGTCTCCCTAGCACTGAGTATATTGTGAACTCTTTTTGTTCAGTCATTCTGGAGTTACTTAGTGACCTGAGCAATGAACCTTGAAGTCACAAGCAGTCCAACACCAGGGAACACTATTCTAAGGTTTTGTTCGGTAGCTAAGGACCTTAAATGCTCTGAGTCCCCAGGGCTAGGACAGTCTTGTGGGCAGCCAGTGTTGTTAGTTCCACAGAAGGCTTCCAAACATACTAGACCTCCGAAGCCAGAATTCCTAGTCACGTGGATCTGAGACTGGGAGTCTTTAAAACCTCATGTAGATCCTGCTGTGTAGGAGAGTCATGTCTTGGGCCTGAGGCAGTGAGCCTGCAAGCTCTGCTCTCAGATGGCTCACAGAGCTGTCAGGCTCCCGACAGAGGAGCTGTGACTCTGGGCCCTGTAGCACAGGCACAGTCTGAGAGTGGACTCCCGGGAACCACAGATGCCTGGAGTTCCCACAGCTGGTCAGTGACATTCACATCCTTGTCAGCATCTTTGTTGCTACAGGGAACATAATTTTTACATATGAACACTGAAGAGATTCTGACTGGCCTGTTTTAGTACCTCTGTACATAACTCAGAATTTTTGGTTAGTAAAAGTTTGAGAGTGTTTTTTCAATGGGATTTGGATTTAAACCAAATTTTTTTTCTGCAGAAAGGAAATCCTGCTTCTCAGCCTGTTCTGTTTCTTACAAATTGATTGTTACAGAAGTTGTGAACAGGCCAGAACTTTCACTGGAATCATATTTGAAGGGTCAGTCATTGTCACAGTTTATGTGGTGTTGACATTTTTATGGAGAAAGTGAGAAAACATTTTGTGTCCTTCTTAATCTTAAAGATGGAGCCAGAATATGTGAAAATGTTTGTACTTTGCATCTGATACCTATAGCTCGAGTTACTGTTGGAAAGAAACTTGTACTCTTCCTACCCTTATTTTGTAATCTCAGAAAAAAAGAAAGAGAAGTAAAAAGAACTGTCTGAGGACAGAACAGGCTGCAAACATTTTGTACCACTATTCTCTTCATTTAGCATCTCTCAAAGCTGTTCAAGTCTAATGCCACTTTCTGTGACATAAATCAGTCTATGTCTTTGATCATTGTTGTTTGTCTTCCAAAGAAAGCTCAATGGGACTTGTTAAATAGACAACAGGAAACGAATTTATCATGAGCATGGAGGCAGACTGCATTGATCTTAAGAAAACCTACTTCATTCATCCCACAGAATTTAGAGATTACCACTTTTCTGTAGACAAACTTTTGCATCTGCAAAGACTGGGCACCAAACAGGTGCCCAAGTCTCTGTGGCTTTTCCCACTGCTGTTTTTTGTACTCCTTGCACAAGGTGTCTTGTTACAATATCGGGGAAATCCCAGGATCCCTGAAGTTGAGACAGTTGCCTGATAACTTGGAGTCTTGGGCCATAATAACCTTGATGTACACAGATTTAGAAAAGCCAACATGATTTAGCTGGTCCCTGTGCATTTGGGCCCAAATGTTAAGACTGTCTAGAGTGAGGGATAAAGCCAAATTTGCTGAAATGAAGAGACAAAATGTGTCTTAGACTGAGAATCTGTGGTAAGATGATGAGTCAGGCAATGCAGTATAGGAGAGAAAATCAAATACATGAGTTAGGCCAGACTGTAACTAGATAATGTGGCCTGAGGCAAGGGTGTGAGTCAGGAAACAAGGATTTCATGCCTGCTCTGTTGGCTCCAGGACGTAGGTCAAGAAGAGCAGGAACAAATGCAGATCACCTGCTTAAGAAGAGAATGAAAAGTGACATGGCAGGAAACACAGATCAAGGCTGAGATGGCAGGAAAAGAGGAGAAAGATTTGAGGACAGCTGTAGTGAAGGGACACCTGGGACTATCTAGAGCTGGCTATGATGGTTGTCTCTGTAAACTGGGAGAAGAGAAAGATCACTACAGTCAGTCACCGTCTGGCCAGGCCTGATTGCAGCCAGGTTGTAGGGTAGTAGGATAAAGTCTTGAGGAGGATCCTTGTCAACATTAATT